TTCCTTTTGAATTAAATAGTATGAGGAGAATAGGATTCTTTGTATAATAAGAATTACTTCATATGAAAAAAAAGGTCCTGGAATTAATTTTTGATTTAATATTTCAATATTAAAAAGGTGCATGACCATCCCATGCATTTAGAGAGAGCATTCCCCCTTGGATTCATAGCAAGGTGATGCACACATTTCAAAAGGTGGTGGTGCTCCAAGGTGCTGCCACTGTTAAGAGGGTGAAGTTGCACAGTGTAGAGTTCCCCCAGATACCTCAGGACAGGTGGAAATGTACAGAGTAATAACAGGAGCAGGTGCAATGATGCCCCCCAGACAGTGGAGGGTGTTTTTCTGCATAAATGGCGAACTTCCACAGATTCTTTTTTAGTTTTGAGTTCTCAAGATGAAGGAAAATATAAAAAAAAAAACCTATGCCATCTTCAAATTGTCTTCCCTGAAACAAAATTGTACAAATTGACCCTTTTCTGTACCACGCACCGAAGAGTCAGGACAGAGGAGGGAAGGCCTGTTGAAGTGCAATAGTCCCTTAAACAGTTAAGACTTGTAGCAGCTTAACCACATCCGTTAATGTTTTAGCACTTTATTTTATTTTTAGTGCAGATGTTTAATAAAGACTCAGGAACGTGTTATTGATGCCATGGGGTTCATTTTCCTTGGTCTCAGAACTCAAAACCAACCAATCAGAAAGAGAAGGAGCAACATCCTGAACCTTTATTTTGGTGGAATTCCCCTTTAATGCAGAATTGTGAAGATTGTATTTTGCTGCTTGTTGGTCTAAGCTATTTAATTTATTTATTTGGTTGTTGGATTATTTAGTTTGTCTGTGAATTGTACCTACTATGATTTCTCACTCTGTGTTAATGAACAGCTCATTTGGTGGAGTAAGGTTTGCTGTGTAATCATGTTCCCACGTTTCTTTGTTCATAATCCTGACATTTACACTTAATATTTATTCAATATTTATGGGTATAGGTGCTCGGTGGGCAGTACACATTATTACTGTAATCATTATTAATAACTCTGATCAAACTTATCAATTCCCGAATGCAGACATTGGAGAATGAACCCCATCGTCATCGTCAGTGTCTTTGCAGTAATTGGACTTTGTGGTTGATTGCACACAGCTCATGTCACGCTTTGTAAAGGGGCACTTTAGTATCGAACCAAAGCAAATGAACGCTGTAACAAATGATCATTGGAACCATTTTAAATTCATGTATTTAAGTAAAAAAAAAAAAAAAAAAAATTAATGTTATCTGATATCTATGATCTGACTTAAACTGAAGTTGTAAACGCAGCTGGATTCTATGTGATATTTTTACAGTCACTTAGTGGTCATAGATTGAAAGACCTGACAGTTATTGTTAAGGTGAGGGTGAATCAGATGAATGGTGATTCAGCATGTTTACTGTGCTGTTGTTTGAGTCTGGTTACGAGTCCCTAGAATCCCTCGTTTCATCGTTCTGCAGTTAAAATGTGAGCGAATTCATCGTGGACGTCCAAAGCTGATAAGCTGGCACTGACCAAATCTACTTAGTTCCTCTCACGACTAAACCCTGCCTGCTTGTTGTTGTGTTTTATTTTGGTTTACTTCACTTACACACATCACTATCAGTTAATTTTCACCAGCAGTCCCTGCCCGTCGTCACCAGGAACAAGGTCCCGTAATAAAAACACTCTCGACTACAAATATCCAGTAAACACACAGTGAAGCTGGTGTTACATGAAACAGTTGCAGTGCTGAGGTACTGATTATCTCTTCGCCATCTCACGTACTGTAGCCAGCGTTTTTTTTTTGTTGGTGTTCAATAACAGTCACCTAGTGGCCTGAACTGTATCTTTACATTCAGAACTATGACCTCAAAACTAGAATGTGGTTGTCGTCGACTCTTCTTCTTTGACCTTGTATGTGACAGTACACCGTAGTGGAATATTCAATGCTAGAGAATACATTTATGTAATGCATAGTGCATATTATAACAGTAGAGGGTGCACTTTGAAAAAAATAAAAATAATTTAAAAAAAATCCATGGGAGGGGCAGGGCGAGTGGGGGTGGGGTGGGGGGGGGGGTGTTTAAGGAGGTTAAGATTACTTTTTCCCCTTTGAATTTTGACACACACATACAGACATAAAAACTCAGCTTACACTCACACCTGCACACTTAGACACACACACACACACACACACACACACATCTCCCTTAATGGCTCTTCCATACTGAGCTTTTTTCAGCTCTATTCAACTTTCTATGAGTCCCGACTGACTCGGGTTCTGTATTTGTAGATATTTTGAGCACTTGGGGAGGGGGGGGGGTGTTTGGTACCGTTTACACAACACTGGATCTGCTGTCACTCCTTGCCTGTACATACCAACTTCTACTACTTGTAAAGGAATCAAACTCTTTGGCACTCGTATAGCCAGCACTATGCAGAAACTGAAACATTTCTTTGGCATGCTTTGAAATGCAGAATACTATAGAGGAAAATATAATAAATACAAAATTAAAGTCTGCTCTAATTTCTTATTAAAATAATCACCTTATTGAAAAAAAAAAGATCTTGATAAAGCTGTCCATGGTGAAAATGGATATGATGATGATGGTGAGGATGATTATAAGTGATGAGGATGATGAAGCGAAAGACTTTTAATATAGTGCACATTTTTACTTGCATGCTGCACTGAAAATCATCCAACAATGAGAAGTTTTTGACGTGCAAAGCAGCTGATTTTTGCTGTATGCTTGCAAACTGTGTGTAGAGTGAAACACTGAATTCTTCCGGGTTACGGGAGAGTCATATTTATATATATAAATATATATATATATATATATATATAATACTACTTCCAGGTCATGGAAGAGATGGGTACTGAATAGCTGCAAATATAGAGATCCTAGATGATACAATATTATATTGTATATTTGTATCTTTGGTTGCGAACCACTGTAATAGGAAGATGCATGTGTGGCAGTCCTGAGCAGAACTATGAACTGTTGCCCAGATATCAAAGAGCACTTGATTTACCTTATTTGGGTTCCTCAGAAGTTAAATTAAGCGCCTCTAAAATATTATACATTCTGCTTTTGCCCAGCTACACTCTGAAGAATGACTATTCTCAGCACATGTGAGTGCAGTTTGGGACCACATCCCACTGTCTTTTCACTGCAGGGGGTGTTAAAGGTTTAACATATTGTGCTGAAAAGCACTGAGTTCTGTGATGTCCCCAGAAACCTCTCACAAATGTCTTGAAAATAGTCAATCTTTTTAATAAGTGTATTTTTTATGGCAGAACCTGGAATAGTAAGTTATACCCCATTGATTTATAACACTGGGCTGTCTGATGGAGCGCCTCCAGAAGCTCATAATACATTATTCATATCAAATGTTGAAGAAAGGTAGACGGGGAAATGGTGAAGCTCTAGGTTCTGATTGTGTGATAGCATTATCAATGGTTGAACTTTATAAAATTTCAAAATATTTCTTTCAATAAACGTCTTTGAAAGCAAACTCATTACTGACTGATTCTTGTGATATTTAATGGGACTGTTGTCTGAAAGAAACATTTTTCATGTTTTTGTTTTTTAATGAGAAAAGAGCCATAGTTTTCCTGTGTCGTAAATCCATACTGGACTTTTAAAACTCATACAATTACCACATTAAACAATTCATCTTAATATGATATTTCTGCATGGTGGTCAAGTCAAGTCAACTTTAAAGAATATTAGCTCAGACTGTGTGTTGGCATTTACTCATCTTAAAAGTTCGGAAGCAAAACAACGCCACTGGGATCTCCCTGCTTTTGACCGAGCCCTCTGACTTTCAGACAAACAGTTCAAACAATCACTTTAAACAAAGGCTCTAGCCCTTTTTTTATATACAGTCTGTGCTCTAGCCATGGGGCCCCTGAGCCGCTTAGGCCCCTGTTTGTGTGCCTGTGTCCTTTTGGTAATCCCTCCACTGCAGCAGGGATTCAGTAAAAATAATAAGAACAAGGATATCCGTCCAGCTGCAACAAAAAACAATTTTCAGCCCTAAGACACAGCCATGCCATAAAGTATATTTTCCATGCATCATATACCACACTACACTACGCAAATGCAAATCCAGCAAGCAGAAAGGGACACACAGAACCTGTAGGCTGTAAATGTTGTTTGCCGCTGTTGCCACAAGGTGTCACTATAAACCCAAGTTATGTCATATCGAACTATTTTGAAATTAAAGCTTTTTATCATTCTTTCCCTCCAGTGTCCTTTATTGGGAAAGTCACCATCAGTGGGGGGAAGGTTGGCGACTGAAGTGTGAGACTGAGACACAGGGATCTGTTCACTGTATTAGTTATACTAAATAATATATATATATAGTAGATATAGTAAATAATCTGTATGTGCAGTAAATCACCTGCATTTGTTCATAATCATAGTTGTAATCACATTCACAAACCTTATTATGATTTGTTTTATATGTTTATATCAGAAGAAGCGACACACACTTCATTTTATTCCTAGACAAACACAGATTGGTGATCGCAGTGCATTTATTTATTTATACCTGGTCCATGTGTAATACACGTGAACGTACTGGATGATTTATTCTTTCCGGCTGGAGTCTCGTCTTTAAACCGTAAACCCTGTCATCCCGGTGACATTTCAGTGATCTAGGCGGTATCAGGGCGTTTTCCTGTGCTATGGCCGTATCCAGAGCGCGTCCCCCCCGGCGATTGGACCGGCACCGTCCCGTAAAAGGAGTCAAACTTCTCCATTGTACGTACAAGGTGTCTGTCAAAAGTGCACGTAGTGACGACAAAGGGCCTGCGCAGGATTTGAACGCTGCGATTGGCCGATATCCCTGTCGCTCAGAAGTTAGCTCGAATCTAACTGGATAAAACAAGAGCCATTCAGCGCTCTCGATTTGTGATTGGCGCAGTGTTTTTTGCGGGGAGGAGCACGTTAGTTTGCAGCCAGCGGAGTTGCACTGTTGGGTGGGCGGATCGTAGCGGTGACAGCGACGCTCGGAGACTCCCGACAAACTGTCAAAAAGCAGACAACTAACGGTGAGTCCGGCTCCTATACGAACACGGTGTTTGTTTCTCAGTGTGGGTGAAGGTGAGCTGTCTGCAGGGGGAGCGGGGTGAGTGCGGAAGCAGCCGGACGCTTCGTAGCAGTGAAATGACGGTGATTTTGGATGAGTGATCTCACAGCACACATCACAGCGACGGTGCACTGGTGTAGGATGATGCTGCCTTCAGGTGCTCCTCGGAAACTCTTACTTTTTTTAGAAGGAGCGGGCCGAGTGCGCAGTAGCAATGTAGACTGCTTTCCCTTTTTATGAACCGTCAGCCATACACTTCTGATTTTCAGCTGTCGTGAACGCCTCAGTGCCAGCTTTCACTCCCCCCCGTCATATTCACCACAAAGGTGGGTCGTTCACGTGCAGCTGAACACGGTGGTTCCGTTATGCCCAACAGTACTTGAGGCAGCATGAGTGCGCACTGTCACAGCGGACAGGAGGAAAGTTATGCAAGCTAGCTCGAGTCTCTGTGTGTGTGTGTGTGTGTGTGTGTGTGTGTGTGTGTGTGTGTGTGTGTGTGTGTGTGTGTGTGTGTGTGTGTGTGTGTGTGTGTGTGTGTGTGTGTGTGTGTGAGAGAGAGAGAGAGAGAGAGAGAGAGAGACCTGTCCATTCATTTACAGTGTCTGTTACTTGTGTTGCACTATGTTTAGATTACATAGCTGGTGCAGTGTAGTGTTGACCTCCATGGATACTCCACAGTATAATGACATCAGCAGTACTGGTCAGTAGCAGACAGTTGCTGATGACAAATCAAAGCTGACGAGCCACAGAGATAATTTCTTCTTATCTACAGTCACTGTTGTTTTAGCTGATATCTCATCATCGGCGCCTGTGATGTTATTGATACACAAAGATAAACCCTTCACTCTTAGTTCCCTCTGTGTAGCTGCAACCATGTGTAAATATGTGGCATTGTTACTTGGGTGGGGTCATATTGTTGAAATACTGTTATATACTTGTAAACCTGTAAATATTACGCAATCCAACACATGAACTGTCCCATAAATTCTGTCTTTACAAAGAGAAGTTTTGATTGACACTGTCAGAGAGGTATTAATCTAACTGTATGTTGTTGTTTGCAGTTACAAACATGAGGAAGTCAGAATATAAAGATCTCAATATGATGGAGTCCAGTACAACACCGTCACAAACTACAACCTCAATAATAAACATAGAGTTGAATTAATACATTCGTGACCATGTCAGTCAAAACTGAACATATTATCTTGTGTAAAAGTAGAATTTTTTGGTTGAGCTGTTGAATTGGATTTTCTCTTACATTATATTTGTAATATTTGTATGTCATAGTCTTCATCATTGGATGATGTTTGCGTAGTTGTACATGAGTCAGTTATGATGGAGATTGCTTGAATCAACCAAGTAAATTCTGTTCTGTTTTGATATTGATTGCATGAAACAAAACAAAATTTTATGCATTGGACAAAACTTTGAACAATGAGGTTTTGAGTTTTTAATTCTAGCACAGAATTATTTATTTGGACAACATGATTAGATTGTATCAACACAAACGCATGATTCTTCTTAATGTTATAGAAGATTATCATCCAGCCTTAAAAAAACTTCTCTACTGTCAGTAGAGAGCTGTTTCTGTAGGTTTTCCACATTGAATGAAGAATATTGATTTACAAACTTTCTCTCTGCTTCGTGTTAATGACTGTTGACACCTGCACTGGAACATTATGGTACATTTTGCCACAGAAATTGACGATATAAAGAGGAATCAAAGCAGAGAGGATTGTTCCTCTCCCTCCCTTCCTCCCTCCCTCCCTGTCTCCCTTCTTCTATCCAGATTACTCTCCAATCCTCCACAGCCAGATTACTGAGTGGGAAATAAGAGGTGGGACTGATCTAATGCCCTGAATTCATTATGGACATGATCCAATCACATCCCTTAAATGTCCCGTCGCTTGTTGCTGTAAGCCCGCCAAAGTGATCAGGTATTAGGCCTGAGGGGTGGACAGTTATCAAACAGGTCAGAGGGGTCAGTCAGTGTCGTACAGACTTCTTCCTGAGCCGGTGAAATGAACAGCTACAATATCTCTGCGTCACGATGACAGAGATGAAAGAGTGTTTTGCTGAAATTTCACCTGAAATTTGTGTTTGCCTTCGACTGGGTGTCTCTCAGCCGCCCTGCTGTCTTTAGAGAGAAAACACAAAGCTGTGCAGGAGCAGAGAGTGAGTTCTGTCTTCTCTATGTCTTCAGAAACATTTGTCAAAGTGGAAAGGTCTTTGTACCAGAGGCTCTTATTTTGAAGGATACATATATCAGCTCATATAACTGTGACAGCCCAGTGTTTGTTTGTGTTAAGTGAAGCACACAGCTACATAGATTTCATTTGCCCATACGTTTTCTGAGCAGGAAGTGCGGTTTTATGGCGCTGCGTCTTTTCCATCCTCTGTCCAGTGTGGCTCTGTAAGGTGGAGGCAGTTGTGTTACTTTGGATGCAAACTCAGAAGCTTGAGCTGTTGAAACTCCTGTTGAGATCTTGAAAAGCATTTACTTCACCCATAAATCCTGCAGCAGGAGGTGCCACTCCACCGGTGAAAACGTCTAAAAAAGACGACCATCTGTTTTATCCCCTTACTATTTTATAAATACGCCAGCTCAGCTCTTCACACTCTGCTACAGCACAACTGTCTCATTGTGCTGAACTTTTACCAGTGTTTCCTGAGCAGGCCCACTTTAATGCTCAGCAGCTTCTTGCCAATATCGAATACCACTCTCAGTAGTTTTATAGTCGTGAATAGTTTTGGATTCTGGGGAAAGAACCTGAAGTGTTCTGTCTACTCTGCAAAAGCGAAATCAGACTTAACAATAGCCGGCTGAATCTTACATAAATGCTGGTTTAACATTGACAGTACGATGTTGCTGATTGTAAGTGGACAAAAGTCAACAGCACCCGTGTTTGCATGAAATTCAGTAAAGCTGTATTTTGACCAAAATGTCCAGCAATGTAACAAAGGAAAAAATGGACAATTCAGCATGTTTGCCAGAATCTCATGTCGGACATTAACGTGTAAAAGTTTAGTGGATGGAGCAGAGTTGTAGAGTTGGTGTAATGGTTGGTCTTTTGGTTGCCGCTAGAAACCAAAAGTGAATGACAATACAGCCTTGAACCCTGTAGCTGTATTCAGCTCCAATGACATTTACAGCAGAAGGTCATTCTTGTCTTATTTCAGCAGGATGAACATATGCAGGATGATGACACAGACCAGATGTTTGTATCCTAGTTTTAATTTTTCTTTGGGAAAATATTATTAATGGTCTTTTTTTCTTTCTTTTTTTTTCCTTTTTTGGCTGGTGTTCTCTTTAGATAAATAATCTGAGCAGCCATGGTCATTGCCCTTCCAGGAAGTCCCAAGTAGGGAAATAAAAAAAAAAAAAAAAAAGAATGCATTTGTTCAGACAGTGGAGATCCCACACAAAACGAATAATTTATTTTCACTATAATTCATCCATCAGTAACACAGTGACAGAACGTGGGAATGTTTTTGTCATGGGTTTCAAACACTTTACGTTCTAAAACGTCTAAAAGCAAAAATCTGATCAGATGGAGGTTCGTGGTCTAATCTGTGTGATCATTGATTTAGATGACATCACTGGACCCCTAGAGCTTTCAAAATAAAATAAAATAAAAGGAAAAATGAAATTAAAAAAAAAAGAAGAAAAGAAAATCAGCTATGAAACATAGTTGAATATTCAGGTGATGCCGTCTGATGTCACTGATGACCTCACAGTTTATGTGACATCATTATTTCTGAGGATTCTTAATTCATTTGTGTGAGTTTAGGGTCCTTGCTGTGAAAAAGTTTAGAGGAATAGGAAAGAGGAATAAATAATGGAAGGAAGGGCTGAGTCAGGAAGCAAACACCATAGTAGGAGGAGAAGGAAGGAAGGGAGGAAGGAAGTATTTAAATGAACAGACAGGTTCCTAGAGTTACTGACTCAGAGATCCTGAATTCCTCACAGGCTGTGGAATGTCATTGGACTGGATCTGATCTGGTCTTTTTGCTCCCCACCCACACTCTCTCCTCCCATCTGCTCATCGTCCCTGAGCATCACAAATCATCTTCAGATACTGAGAAGGTCCTTCTGTAATCATGTGACCTTGTATGTTGAGGCTTGTATCACAAGTCAGGGAGGAGTCAGGGTTTAAACTGGAGTGCAGGAAAGCTGATCTCCTCAGTCGGGGCTGTCCTGACTATAGCAGGATCCTCTCTTCAAGGTCACCAGGCTGCTTCATCCCTCCTCTGTCTAGGAGTCAGGAAGCAGAGGAAATCCATCATCCATGTGTGAGCAGTTTAGTCTTAGACCACATTATTATCCTTACATAATAATGCTCCCACAGTTTTACCTATAAGCTACTCATGAACATAATAAGTTGTAAGTTCACTTTTCTTTTTTTTGACAGGACAGGTTTTCTTCAGCAGTTCATGAATAATTCATGAATCATTTTCAGACATCATCCCATTTAGTGACTCCACAGCTGCTGTCTGCTCATTAGACTGAATGGACACACACTTTCAGAGCGTCTCCCTCAGAGGGAAACATGGTGCGCACATGAATTATTTGTTTATATAATGAAAAATAAGAGTTTGGGAGTTCGCCTGCAACACTAATTTTTATTATCAATGAATCTGTTGATTATGCTCCTGATTAATCAGTTAGTTATTTGGTCTATAAAACAGACTGAGGATGCGAAACACTTAAACCCAAGTCTTTGTCAGACGCAGCCCCGCCCCCTCAATTCCACAGAAGATTGGAGGCAGAGTCTTTCAGCACAACCCTGAAAATAATGCGCCCAGAATAAAAAAGGTAGCATAGGTGATTACAGTCCCAAGCCTCCTTTGAAACCAAACCTCAGAAATACTGAACCAAAGTTCAGTAAGAGTGTAGACATTTAAGTTTTATTGCCTTGCCTATTTGTCACAAGTCTGAACCAAGTCTGGGTCAACAGCTGC